CCAAAACCCTCAAAAAGAGGTTTCCTTTTTTTTTTTTCCTTCCGAGTTAAACTAGGCAATGTTAAGCGCCTAAAAAACCCTTTGTAAAATGAAGCCCAAGTAAAGGCGAGGATTTGGGTTTTCCGGTTTATTTTTCAGCCGATCCTTAAACCCCGGACTTCAAATCGAAATATTCTATGATCGCCCTTTTTTAAAGTTTCGATAAAAACCCCTATCGAAAAAATTTAATAAGGGATCGGGCCCTGTCTATCCTAGAGAAATTACAAAGATAGCTATTAAAAAGATGACCCCCAAGACCTAGACATTGTTACTATCTTGTAGGGAAATTTTAAATGAAAAAGGGAAAAGTCCTTTGTTTTCCCCGCGATCCTGTCTACCAAAAAAAACATCTAGTAGTGCAACAAAAACACTTTTAAGAATTACTATTAGTTTCGCCCACCAAGTCCCATGGAGGACTTTGGGGGAGTAAGGAAAGCACGGGAAAATAGCCAGCTTTTTCTTTGGGCCCAGAATGAAGGAGACTGTGGAAAACATCTAAAAAGTTGTCATCTGCCAAGTGACCGGCAAACCTTCGCACCCCCTCCCCAGTTTCCCCTCATTCCGTTCCCCGCAGTGGGACCCTTCCACGCCTGAAAAGTTTGTTTTGGTCCGTCCCCCAGGACTAAAAAAGGGAATCAATACTTTTTACAATTTGGTTCGTTATCAATATCCAGAGACACCCCTTTGAAAAAATTAATTCTCGATCATTTTTTGGGGTTTTCAAAATTTTTTCTCTCGGTGGGGTTTCCCCGAATAATTAAAATCCGATCAAGGTTAATTTTTTCCCTCAAATTTTTTCGTGATGCCTTATCTCCCCCCGGGAATTAAGTCCGTTTTTTTCTTTTGCATATCCCCGTCGCCAAGGAAAGCCCTCGAAGGATTCATCAAACGTTAAAAAACAATGTTGAACGTATTGCAAGCTGTTTTCCCCCCAGTTGGGACAAGGGAATACCTTTCTCTTGTTCGCCTTAAGGGAAAAGGAAAAAAAACACTGGGTTTATCTTTGATTAAATTTTTGGACACCAAAACCCCGGCCCCCCCGCCTTACTAAAAAATTCAGGACGGGGAAAAACAGAACCCTCTTTAAAAAAAACTTCAACCAAACAAAAGCGTTTGTCACAAAGGGGAAATTGCCCCCAAAAAACCCTTTGCAAAGGCCCCCAAACCAAGATGAAGCATTGTTATGACAAACACACAGCTCCCCGCTTCTTTAACCAGGTGACAGGGTGTGGCACAGAAATTTTTTCCTGGACACGCTCTGCAAACCCAGATACGAAGGGCCTTTGAAGGATTGAGCGGTCAATGAGGGAAATTATGTCTACGAACTCCGAAAAAAAAAGCAAAACGTACTTATCACAAAACCAACTTAAGGCACCACCCATTTACCAATACGACAGTTTTTCCCTTTTGCTGAAACTGAAAAAATACGTCTGCCCCGCACTCTAAAGCGATAGAAGTACGTTTTAAAAAAATTTAGAGACTTGCAATCTTTGAACCTTTCTTAGGACCTAATTTGGAAAAAGCAAAAGATTCAAAGACTTTTTTTGTTATAGGTTTTATTCAGTGAGTCCCTAGGGGTTGCACATTGGGAATTACAATAGATGTACAAGGGGCTAAGCTTTCAAACAGTCACCTTTTTAGGGCAAAGTCCACCAAAAAAGAACTTTTAAACAAAGAAATAAATTTTTTGTTGTCCCCTGGCTCCTGAGTGGAGTAAAAATTTCCCTGGGCCCACAGTTATATTATTCCCAACCTGAGGAACTTCTGAAAAAGGCCTGATTAGTAAGGTTGCTCTCATGGCCGGGACGGTTTCCCACTGCCCCGTATTGGATCTAAAACAAGTAAAAAGGAGCCGCCTAGTTACCCCCTGGATTTTTATTAAGGGGCCTTACCAAATGCCGCTTACCCCGCGACCCAAGAAATATCCGCATTTTCTATACAAGGCGATTATTCAATTACCGCTTAGCCCTTCGGGGGTTTGTAACGCGGCCCCCTACCCTTTTGCGCCTGATGAACCTGCACCAAGATTTGAAGGGGTGGATGCAACTGATCTTTTATATATAGCATGAGTGGGGCAACATAATTTACCTGGAAACCTTTTTTAAGAAGTTAGAAAAGTAAACTTTACCATAAATTTTAGAAGGGCAGTTTTTGGCAAGCCAAGATTAAAAACCTCGGTTTTTTTTTATGCCGGGCAAAGGTACTCCCTTTTATGTAAAAGTTAGGGCCATTGCCGATTTCCTATCCCTCAAGATAGAAAGCTGTACAGAGGTTCCTTGGAATGACTGGTTATTATCGACGTTTCTGTCCTAATTTTTCTCAGGTTGCGTCTCCTCTTACTGAGTTGACCAGTAGCAAGATGAAGTTTTGCTGGTCGAAAGATTGTGAGATAGCTTTTAATCGGTTAAAGCGGTTGCTTTCTTCGTCACCCGTATTGAAAAGTCCTGACTTTAATCAACCCTTCTATTTACACATTGATGCCAGCGGTTATGCTGTGGGGGCGGTGTTACCTCAGAAATCCCCCTCTACTGATATTTTGCATCCTATATCTTATTTTTCTTCAAAGTTGAAACGTCACCAAAAGAATTACGCCACTGTAGAGAAAGAAGCTCTTGCCCTAGTAATATCTTTGGAACATTTTGACGTTTATCTGGGAACCTCCCACCATAAAATTATGGTATTTTCTGATCACAACCCTTTAATTTATATTAATTCTATGAAATCAAAGAACACCCAGATCCTCAAGTGGGCTCTGAGGATCCAACTTTATCTGATTAGTATTCAACACTTAAGTGGAACTCTTAACATAATTGCCGATGCCCTTTCTTGCCCCTGAAAAAAAAAAAATATATACCTTAAAATGTCAAGTTAAGAGATGAGTACTCTTAGGGCCTAATTTATATATATATTTTTTGTTAATGATTTTCTTTTATATTGACAGTATGATTATGAAAACCGTTTCATTGATGGGACGAAGTATTAAGTCCACATGGATGACCCTGACAGTCGTATGTCTGAGACTCCTATTCTCGAATTGCGATGGATGCCACTCCAGAGAGTTCTTCCGGCCATTGTTCCAGAAGCTCATCCTCTGGCAAATAACCATGCTGATGGAGTTCTTTCATCTTCATTCTTCCGTCGTCCTACATGCCTTATTTACCAAGAGGACGCTTGCAAACTCCCTAGTGCGACCTATTGTCATACGGGGGGTGGGGGGTGTTATATCTTGGAAATTGGTCATCCTGCGTTATTTAACTATTGTACGAGTATGATCATCACTTATTATAGCGCGAAAGTCCCCGTTTATAGCTAAAATAGAGACTTTCGGCGTTATATTATTATCTGTTAATATATAAAAAAATACCATGGTATTATCACTATTTTATTATTATTGTTAGGTAGGATTTCTTATGTATATAGAGCATAAGTCTCGGAACCATCCGGTGAATTGTTCAATTGTTTATGTCTGGCTGACTGACGTTTGGGTCAGGTGATCCAACCTGACGATGGGTCAACAGTCTGGGAAGTAGTCAGTCCGCTCCCTGTTCTAGCCTTGACAACTGATCGTATATTGGTTCTCTTTTAGGGTGTACAGTTTGAATGGGTTTGAGAATTAGACTCTAGAGCTGACTCAGTTTGTTCCTCATTGCTCTGAAGATTGTTTTGATATTTATATTCTTGGTCAGTTCAGTAATCCATAGAGATATGTCTTCTCAGACAAACTCTTGCTTTTTACTTCCTTTACGGCCGGATTCAAAGGTCTTGTTGAATCTTGTCATTTTGTAGTTTGAGTTTACACAGTCTTGTTAAGACAAAGACGTAAATGTTAGTGAAGACTTAATTACAGGAAGAAAAATTAATCTTCCTTATTAATGTGATACTTCCATGATTTTGAACTAAATATGTACAGTGGACCCCCGCATAACGATGGCATCGCATAGCGATTTTTCCGCATAACGATTACTTTTATCGCAAAATTTTTGCCCCGCATACCGATTAAAAACCCGCATACCGATTTTCGTCCGAGACGCGTCCAATGTGCCCTCAGCCAGCCTCACATGTGCCGCTCCGTCCCATTGTTTACCAGCCAGCCTCCGCGGTAACATCCAAGCATACACTCGGAATATTTCGTATTATTACAGTATTTTCGGTGCTGTTTCTGGAAAATAAGTGACCATGGCCCCAAGAAAGCTTCTAGTGCCAACCCTGTGGTAAAAAAAGGGTGAGAATTAGTATGGAAATTAAGAAAGATTTTGAAGGGTTTGGGGCTAACCCTGAGAAGCCTATGCCAGTTGTGGGAAACCATTGTGCCTACTTCAAAGATTAAGGAAATGTGTGCACAGTGGGTTGAACTGCAAACCTTTATTTGATGAAAATCACCCTGACACAGCTGTTGCAAGCCGTGCTGGTGACTAAATTTTAATGACAATGTTGTGGCCCATTTTAGACAAATCGTAAAGGAACGGGAGGGACAGAGCTCTATGGACAGATTTGTTGTGCGACAGAGGTCCAGTGACTCTCAAGCGGTCCTAGTGGCATTAAAAGAAAAGGGAAGTAACCCCGGAAAAGGACTTTCTACCTCAAGTCGTAATGGAAGGGATTCCCCTTCTAAACAGTAAGAAGATAATGCTCCCCCCTCCTCCCATCCCATCAATTCATCACCAATCTTCAATAAAAGTAAGTGTCATTTAATTGTGCATGCCTTTTTCAGTTTGTGTGTATTAAAATTAACATTTCATGTGGTAAAAAAAATTTTTTTTCATACTTTTGGGCGTCTTGCACGGATTAATTTGATTTCCATTATTTCTTATGGGGAAAATTCATTCGCATAACGATTATTTCGCATAACGATGAGCCCTCTTGCACGGATTAAAATCGTTAACCGGGGGTCCACTGTATATTGTAAATTTATTGTACAAAGTATTAAGATATAATATTAGGTACAGAGAAAAGATAAAGTATTGTATTTAAATACTTTAATAAATTTGAATATTATTCTATGGAGTTTCCCAGTTGAAATTATTTCCCCTAGACTCTAAAATACCTTTAACAAACTCTGATCCAAAATCTTGTTGCATAAGAAGAAAATAGTAACAGACTACATTCTGAAGTTCTTTATAAAATTTCTTATTTGCAACAGTGTGTTTGTGCTAGTGTTATTCAAATGGCCTGTTAATTACGTATGCAAGTTGAGAAGCTTCACTGATAGTAGCGGCAACAGCAGGACGAGCAGCATAATGGTAGACATATAAGAGACAGTGCCATGGGAAGACATGACGCTGTACAAGGTGCGAGAAGCACATGCTTGGTCTGCAGGAGCCACAAAAGGCTTTGCCTGTGGATACTTGGTGATGTTCGTGTCCAGCTGAGAGCAGAGAGAGTTATCATTAATAAGAGAACATTCATTAATTCTGTGGAGTATGCAATACATGAACTCTTACTCCAAGTAAACTTCAGTTCTACTAGGGAAATATATATAAATTCAACTTTTGGATATACATCACTTCTACTAGTGGCATATACATAAATTCCTAATCCACTGTGAGGCCTGGTCATGGACCAAGCCACAGAGGCGTAGACCCCTGGAACACACACAAGGTATATGTGTAATAATAATACAGGAATATTGATGGTAATGCTGTATAGTCCTTGTGGCTTAGCGCTTCTTTTCTGATTATAATAATAATGATGGTAAACATTGGTTCTGCTAGAGAATGTGTACCCTACATATCAATTCTGGTTTAAGAGAATACATTAATTCTTCTAGGGGCATTGTACATAAAGTCTACTACATTTTTGTCTTTTTCTATCTATAAGAGTTTGGTAAAATATAGTTATTTTAACATCCTTAAAAACTGTTTTAAATCTTACATCTTTAACTGAAGCTCAACTTTCATAAATGCAAATATTCCAGAAGCCAATTGTAGATCCCATCAAACACACACACACACACACACACACACACACACACACACAGGAGGAGAGTGGTGGAACACCTGGAACGGAACAAGATTATAAATGAAAACTAGCATGGGTTCATGGAAGGCAAATCTTGTGTCACAAACCTTCTGGAGTGCAGGAAGGCCTTTGACACAGTCCCCCACATGAGATTAGTGCAGAAGCTGGAGGATCAGGCACATATAACAGGGAGGGCACTGCAATGGATCAGGGAATACCTGACAGGGAGGCATGGTACGTGAAGAGGTATCACAGTGGGCACTTGTGACGAGCGAGGTCCCACAGGGGTCAGTTCTAGGACCAGTGCTATTTTTGATATATGCGAACGACATGGTGGAAGGAATAGACTCTGAAGTGTCCCTATTCGCAGATGATGTGAAATTGATGAGAAGAATTAAATCGGATGAGGATGAGGCAGGACTGCAAAGAGACCTGGACAGGCTAGACATGTGGTCCAGAAACTGGCTTCTCGAATTCAACCCTGCAAAATGCAAAGTCATGAAGACAGAGTATAGGCTAGGTGGACAAAGACTACAGACCTCACTCAGGGAGAAAGACCTTGGGGTGACCATAACACCGAGCACGTCACCGGAGGCACACATCAACCAAATAACTGCTGCAGCATACGGGCGCCTGGCAAACCTGAGAATAGCATTCCGATACCTTAATAAGGAATCGTTCAAGACACTGTACACTGTGTATGTTAGGCCCATACTGGAGTATGCAGCACCAGTCCCACACCTGGTCAAGCACGTCAAGAAGTTAAAGTACAAAGGTTTGCAACAAGGCTAGTCCCAGAGCTTAGGGGAATGTCGTACGAGGAAAGGTTGAGGGAAATCAGACTGATGACGCTGGAGGACAGAAGAGTCAGGGGAGACATGATAACGACATACAAGATACTGCGGGGAATAGACAAGGTGGACAGAGATACTATGTTCCAGAGAGGGGACACAGAAACAAGGGGTCACAACTGGAAGCTGGAGACTCAAACGAGTCACAGGGACGTTAAGAAGTATTTCTTCAGTCAGAGTCGTCAGGAAGTGGAATAGCCTAGCAAGTGAAGTAGTGGAGGCAGGAACCATACATAATTTTAAAGAGGTATGTTAAAGCTCAGGAAGCAGAGAGGGAGAGGACCCAGTAGCGATCAGTGAAGAGGCGGGGCCAGGAGCTATGACTCGACCCCTGCAACCACAAATAGGTGAGTACAGAGCTGTGACTTGACCCCTGCAACTACATATGTGAGCACACTTGCTTGCACTCTCCCTCTCTCTCTGCTCCATGACAATTACTATTTGCATGGCAAAGGGCTAAACTAGTAAGGGTCATATAGCACCTAAGAAATGGGAGTTAATCAGGCTTAACCCAAGGAAAGGGTAGCTCCCACCCCCTGAATCATTATTATAATCAAACAAAGCACTAAACTGCAAGGGTTATACAGCCACACCCCAGAATCAAGAATAAAACATCAATAAATACACTCCATTTATACTAATCCACACTGTACACTATTTTACCCTCTAGTTTGATGCTTGTTTTTTATCCATCTCTTTTTCATTAATAATAAATATACTATAAATTTCAGCAATTCTGCTCTGTTTCTTTTATTTTTTAAGAATTTTCATGACTAGTTTTTTTAAATTTCCATAACTTAACATTTTGTTTAGAACTGTCATAACTGTTTTTTTAATTTTCGTACGTCTGCATATGTACAAATTCTGTGTAACTAACCTTCATATTAACACCATAGTTATACTGACACTTAATGACTTGGTCACCCTCCAGCACTTTCTTATTGAGATTCTTCTTATTCAGTGTCTCCCATGGCAGTGCATTCATCACCTCCTGGTACTTGTGCCCAACACCAACCTCAGGGTTAAACTCGAAAGTGTCCAGTTTCAGGTCCCTGTCAATAGATTTTAGTAGTAAACTGGAGCACATGTAGTCATCAAGTAATAATTCATTTGTGCTGCTTAAGCACCTAGGATACTGTGCCCTACTGAAGTTTTCCAGTTCAGGCTGGCAGATTTCAGTACCTCTCATAAACCCATCCTGTGTGATGTAATATGTCAGAAACAACTAGCTATTTTGCTACTACTATGTACCATAATTCATACAGAATATGATAGCCACACACTATAGCTGTTCCTAACATGTAACTAGTAAAACAGGGTACCACACATTGTGAGTATGCATAATTTTGTTAAAAAACATCAGTAATGTATTATCAGACTACAAGATCACTACAGACAGGGTCTTTTTGAAGTACAAAATCTCAAAATAAAAATATATTTGAAGTGCTAAATGACCTTAAAAACTGTGAATTTATATTTGTATTATTATCTGGAATTCTAGTGTAGTGGATGCCCTTCAAAAAATAATCAGCCCCTAATTTGGTTATGCCTAAAGGCACCTACTTTGAGAAGTTGCCAATGCCAAAGGTGTCCTGGAGGAGGCCTGGGTGGGGGGAGGAGCGACATAGAGACATGTTGACACGAGGGTAGTAATAGATGAAGGCTTGACACATCTCGTCTCTGGCTTTCCACCCTGTGAAGGTCCCACTGTCTTGCCCACTGCTGTCATAGTCACATTCTATAAGAAAGTGAAGTCCAGTTACGTCACATGTCTTGTACACAACATACAGAAAATCAAGCCTCCATTATGCCTTGCACTGAATGATTCACACAGTTTGCCCTTCAAGGAACACAGGAGGGAGGGCACTTTGATGCTAATGAGGGGCTCCTGATGCAAGGAACTGGATCTACCCTTCCTTTCCTTGGATCAAGTCTGATCTCTCATTCTCCAACTGTTGTTTGACCCATACCTGGACAGAGTTCCGGGGGTCAACAACCCCACGGCCCGGTCTGTGACTGGGCCTGATCAACCAGGCTGTTACTGCTGGCCGCATGCAATCCAATGTACAAACCACAGCCCAGCTGGTCGGATACTGACTTTAGTTGCTTGTCCAGTGCCTGCTTGAAGACAGCCAGTTTAACTTTTCCATGAATATAATAATAATCCACATGATTTAGTGCTTCATAATATATAATGAAGTACAGAAAGATGCATGTTCCTTGAACCATGGGCATCAGAAAAATTTTCTAGGGGCAAAGTATACTATTGCTGGACAGAGCGGTTTACCTTAAAATAAAAAAAAAAAAAGTCAGAAAAAAGTTAGTCTATTATGGTTGACAAAAGAGAAAATAATTGGTGAGCCATGTGTTCAGTTGTGTTTTGGTGGTTCTCTAAGAGAAGGTTCATGATGACAGTGAGGGGCTCTTGAAACCAGGAATTTAGTTTCCCTTCCTTTCCTTAGATCAAACCAGATTGCCTCCCATTTTCCCAGATGCCACATTACCCCTACTGGTTTTGGGTTCCCTTCCCCTCCCCATGAATGTAATAATAGTGTTTTGTTGTGAAACAAGAGAGGTCAAATGCCCCCTCTTGCCCTTGACTGACAACACCCAAGCCCCAGATCTACTCACCTGTCAAACTTGCTAAACTTAAAAGAATGAGTATGTAAACTTTAATAATAAACTAACGTGACTAATAATGTCTCTACCCATTTCCTTCAGTGTTTGCAAAAGCTATGTAGAATTATTCAGTTGTGCCACTGGTTACTTGGGCCCTTGCTAGGGAACTGGAAGGCCTGACCCCTCAAGGAAAGTGCCTAAATGCTAGTGAGGATCTCTTGATCCAAGAAACTAAACTTCACTGGATTGAGCCCCAATGCCTCCCCTATAGGTTTAGCATTTGCCCATGAAAATAAAAGGCCCGAGGTACTTACCTACAGTTAAGTGGTCCCCTGGCAGGATCTTTACCTCTTTCGTCAGTCTGCGAGACTGCTGGAAGTCAGCAGCATAGTGGGAGTCCACAGCCAGTGGTGGCAGCTCCACATCATCCCTGAAATGACGCAGTCTGATGGCCCTAGCTGAAAGTGGTCAGGACTGTTACAGATGATCTTATTATTTTCAGTTGTCAAAATTATTCATCAGCAATGTTGTTTATTCCATTGAAGACATAGCAAGACTCCAAGCGGACATCAACCAAATCTTTAAACGGCTGCAGAAAACAATACGAAGTTCAATGAAGAGAAATTTCAATTTCTCTGATGTGGAAAACTTGAGGAAATTAAAACTACGTATATTGAAGTATAAAACAAATTCCAACCAAACAATTGAGTGAAAAACTAATGTGAAGGACCTGGGAGTGGTAATGTCAGAGGATCTCACTTTCAAAGATAATGACAATGTATATCACATCTGCTAGAAAAAAGATAGGTAATGAGAACCTTCAAAACTATGGATGCCAAGCCCATTGTGATTCTCTTCAAATCGCTTATTCTTTCTAGGCTGGAATATTGGTGTACACTAACAGCACCTCAAGGCAGGGAATATTGCTGACCTACGGAATGCACAGAGAACCTTCACGGCACACATAAGTACGATAAAACACCTAAATTACTGGGAATGGTTGAAGTTCCTCGACTTGTATTTCCTGGACACAGGCGAGAGAGATACACAATGTTATACACTTGGAAAATTCTAGAGGGATCAGTACCAAATTTGCACACAAAAATCACTCCCTACTAATGTAAAAGGCTTGGCAGGTGATGCAATATCCCCCAGTGAAAAGCAAGGCAGCCATGAGTACAGTAAGAGAACACAATGTGCCAGGGGCTTAAGTTTGTTAAACTGCCTCCCAGCATACTTAAGGGGGATTACCAATAGACCCCTGGCTGTCTTTAAGAAGGCGCTGGACAGGCACCTAAAGTCAGTACCTGACCAACCGGGCTGTGGTTCATATGTCAGCTTGCGTGTGGCCAGCACCAACAGCCTGGTTGATCAGACCCTGATCCACCATGAGGCCTGGTCTCAGACCGAGCCACAGGGGCATTGACCCCCCAAAGCCCTCTCCAGGTAAACTCTTCACAACTGTTACCAGATCATTAATTTGTAAATAGTTAATTACTACTGGAACTTGCATACTGTTGAAACTTAGAGCTGAGTCCCTGGACCTATTATGTGCCTGGAGTATACCTGGAGGGTGTTTCAGGGGTCAGTGCCCCACAGCCTGGCCTCAAGGTGGATCAGGGCCTAATCAACCAGGCTGTTACTGCTGGCCACACACAAACAACCAACATATGAACCACAGCCTGGCTGGTTAGGCATTGACATTAGGTGCCTGTCCAGCTCCCTCTTGAAGACAGCCAGGGGTCTATTGGTAATCCCTTATGTATGCTGGGAGGCAGTTTAACACTCTTGGGCCCCTGACACTTACTGTGTCTCTTAACGTATTATGGTGCCCCCTGCTTTTCACTGTGGATATGTTGTATTGAATGCCGAGCTTTTTGCTTTCATAGGGAGTCATTTTTGTGTGCAAATTTGGTACTGATCCCTCTAGAATTTTCCAAGTGTGTATTATCATGTATCTTTCTCACCTGCATTCCAAGGAGTACAGATCAAGGGCCTTCAACTGTCCCAGTAATTTTGGTGCTTTATTGTGTTTATATGTGCAGTGAAAGTTCTCTGTATATTCACTAGGTCTGCATCTCGCCTGCCTTGAAAGGGGTCTTTAGTGTACAATACTCTATCCTAGAAAGAACAAGCAATTTAAAGATAATTATCATTGGCTTTGCATCCCTAGTTTTGAAGGTTCTTATTATCCATCCTATCATCTTAATAGCAAATGTGGTAGAGACTTTGTTGAGATCTTTGAAAGGGAGATTCTCTGACATCACTCATAGGTCCTTCATATTAGTTTTTTGCTCTATTCTGTGGTTGGAATTTCTTTTATAGTCTGATCCAGTTTTTATTTCCTAGAGTTTTCCACAGCAGAGTAGTTGAAATTTGTCTGTTGAACTTATATTGTTTTCTGAGACCCATTTGAAGACTTGGTTAACGTCCACTTGGAGATTTGCAGTTCTCAATGGATGACACAGTCATGCAAATTCTGATATTGTCAACAAAGGACATGATGCTGTGATTACATCTCTGTGTCAGATATACCTCTGTAATCTTTTGACTACCCTCCACAGGATGGGTATGTGGTACATAATAATGCTATTAAACTCTCGATAAGCAAACTGAGAATCGAGTTGCTACTACTCGCACAGAATGAATACCCATCTATGTACTGACCTAGGTAGTGTCCGTGAAGAAAGACGGTGAAAACATTGATTCCATCTTCAGGTAAGCCTGCGGCAGTACAGGCAGAAGAGCAGTGCCCAGACACGAGCCAGTTTGGCGTCTTGGGTGGCACTGTCAACGAGAAGAGCAAGGCATGCCCTAGACCCATGTTACTGGCATCGATCTCCCTGCCCAGTAAGATGGCGAGAAATTGTCACAATTACTCTTAAGAGGCATATTTTGTATATAATATACAAGAAATAAAAATTGTATTGTAACATGAAACACTGAACAGCCTCCAGTTTTATCAAGATATAATGAAAGCTCACCTCGTATCAATCAGAATGCTTAACATTCCCAATAAACCTATCAACATTCAACTATCATTCCTAACAATCCTAACGTATTCCCAATAATCATACATTCAAAATAACCCTACCACACATTCCTAATAATCCACATATTCCTAATAAATAAATAAATCCTACCACACATTCCCAATAATCGTACCACATATTCCCAATAATCCTACCATATATTCACAGTAATCCTACTACATATTCACAATCCTACCACATTCACAATCCTACCACATTCCCAATTATCGTACATATTCCCAATAATCCTACCACATATTCCTAATAATCCTACCACATTCACAATCCTACCACACATTCCCAATAATTGCACCACATATTCCCAATCCTACCACATATTCACAATAATTCTACCACATTCACATTGATCTAAGCCTTGACCCGAGGCCTTAACTGACCTGAGCTTTTCAGTGTAGTAGATGTTCATGGCCCACTCCACGGTGACGTCACGTTCCAGTCTGGTATTATCGTAGTGGGTCTGAAACATGATGTAGGTGGCACCCCCGTGCTGATCTCCCATTGGATAGCCAACTTTCTCTGGCAATAGTTCTCCCTGCAATGACAAGACCTCAGCTCCTGTTGTGTTGAAATGACCGCAGTGCTGACAGATATAGTAAGAGGACACTACTTTCAGAGTAGGAAGTTGTCAGCAAATTTTTATTTAGGTGAAGAAAAAAATTGCAGTCCCGTGGTTGGGACTATTTATAAATAACCCACACTTAAGAAAATTTTAGTTGGCGTTTCAAGTCCTGGGTATATTAGCTATGAGATGATATTTCACTTGTGACGTCGTGGGGTTGACAACATGTAACATGCATCCACCAGGACGCTGACATGTCCCTAGGACAGCTCTCCACCGGGCTGCTAACGGAGTCACTGGCTTCTTGGACCTCTTGGGGAGGGTCGATGGTGCTCGTGCAAGCAGCAGATCCCGGGGCAACTTGCTGCTGTTTGCAATGGCTGTCTGCTGAGGAGAGACAGGCACCTAGCAACATCTGTTGGGGCAATGGATGAATTCCCTACTGTGTTTGTTAACTGCTCATTACTCTGTAATTTGTCTATGATTGTAATCATGTCATAACGTGTTTATCATTCATTACCTTTGAAACTTGTCATGATTGTGACTAGCTCTACCTGGAGCTCATTACCTTTGTAAATTCTCATGATTAATGTGTTTATGATTCATTACCTTTGCAATTATTCATGAGTGTGACCAGCTCAACCTGGAGCTCATTACCTTTGTAACTTGGTCATGATTATGACCAGATCTAGTTCATTACCTTTGTAACTTGCTCAGCTATCAAAACTTTGGAGCCCAGTCCCTGGACCAATTATGTACCTCTGTAATCTTTTGACTAACCCCCACAGGATGGGTATGGGGTGCATAATAAACATATTAAACTAACTAACTAACTATCTAGAGGACACCATTTCCATATGACCACAGATTTCCCGTAGATGGTGTAGCATATGATGGAAATATTCATCACTGGGTATCAACTGCAGCAACACACCTAAAGCCAATAACAACTCAACAAAAAGCCACAGTAAGAATAATCACTAAATCCCATCCCTTGCAACACCCCCCCCCCACTCTTCATAGATCTAAACTTACTCCCTGTTCAGAACATCCACACTTACTACTGTGCAATCTACATCTACAGGACCTTAAATTCCAATATTAACCTTGGCCTAAAACGCTTTCTTGATAGTTGTGACAGGATCCACAGGCATAACACCAGACACAAACATCTCTATGACATTCCCTGTGCCCGACTAAACCTTTACAAAAATTCAATGCATGTCAAAGGCCCTAAAATCTGGAACACCCTCCCTGAAAACTCTAGAACTGCAGACACACTCATCACTTTCAAAACTACCGTTAGAAAACATCATATCTCCCTGATACACCCCGTCAACTAACTACATAAAAACCACCTGGTGGTTCACACTTACACTCACTCATTTGACTATAAACACAGAAATGCGTATCTTAATCTTAAAATAATGATATTTAACTAGTCATAAGTTTGCCTGTGATATTCCAATATAGAAACTATGTATTGTGCCAAAACATAAGCATTCACATTGCTAAACTAACAACTAGTATTTAGTCACTTAGTATTTAGTCAACTTACTCCACAATTTGTAATAAAATAGGGTTAAGAATTAATATAAGTTTGCCCGAAATGCCTAGCCATGCTAGGTGTTCTAGTGGCCCCCTCTGTAATTAGTATTTTATTACATGTAAACCACACAATAACCAAAATCTGTAAACCCCGCATTGTAATCCTTATAGAGAATAAACTTTGATTTGATTGACTGATTGATATTAGGGAATCGATAGTAGAGTTGATACAGGCTCTAATATCACAGTCTGGCCTTGAAATTAATGCGATGGGATCAAGTCCTGAGCATATCGGCTATGCATATAATTTAATAAATATCTTCATTGTGCACTCATACCCATCATGTGGGTGATAGTCAAAATACTACAGAGGCACATAATGGGCCCAGGAACTAGACCACAAGGTTCTGATAGCTAAACAAGTTGCAGTGATAATGAACTATTTACATGTTTATATCTAGTTACAATTGCAATGAGTTTTGATGCAGACATTAATTAAGGTCACAAAAATACTAGAGTAGCTCATATGTGGTATTGAATTCTAAGAATAAATTTGAAAGTTAAGACACATGTGCAACATCTGGATATCTTTATTGTAGACGTTTCGCCATCCAGTGGCTTTATCAATACAGATTCTAGACTAATAAAAATATTTTTTTTTTTATAACCAAAATAGTTTATAACATCATAGAAAGATTTTAACTATTTTGGAAAAAAATTAAATGAAGGTTTAATATTTTATATGATGATATAAAATATTTTGCCATCTAGAATGATTGTAACCTTCATGGAAAAGTTTTCATGAACAAAAAATAAATTTTATTATATGATCCAAAATATTTTTACCATCCATAGAAAGATTCAACCATTTTGGAAAAAAAATATTAAATTAGGTATATTATTATATGATAATATAAAATATTTTGCCATCATAGAAAGATTTTAACCATCATGAAAAAAGTTTCATGATCAAAAAATATTTTTTTTTATTAGCAAAAATAATTTTACCATCATAGTAAGATTTCAAACTATTTTGAAAAAAAATTAAATGGATGGTAAATTATTTTATGTGATGAATAAAATTTTTGGCCTATCATAGAAAGATTTAACTATCATTGAATAGTTGTTCAATGTTTAAAAAAATATTTTTTTTTATGATCCAAAATATTTTACCATCATAGAAAGATTTTAACCAATTGAAAATTTTTCTATGATTGTTATATCATCTGTTAGATGTGTTGTGTCAACTAAAGAAGACTTGTCTGACTGAATAACCTTGATAAACTACAATCTTTTTTTACCTGACCTTTGACATTAATGAAAATCCTTACCTGACCTTTTGGCATTATGAAAAATCTTCATGAGGAAAATTATTTTATATGATGATATAAACTATTTTTGGCTATCATAAAAGATTTTAACCATCATGGAAAAGCTTTCAATGATCAAGAAATATTGTTTTTTATGATCCAAAATATTTTACCATCATAGAAAGATTTCGGTCGACCATTTTGAAAAAAATTTTTAATGATGTAAATTATTTTATATAATGACATAATTTTTTTTTTTCCATCATAGAAAGATTTTAGCCATCATGGAAAAATTTTACAATTATCAAAAATATTTTTTTGATACTAAAATATTTTACCATCATGGTTGACTTTACCATTTTGGAAAATTTTTTTAAATGAAAAGTAAAATCATTTTTTTGTATGATGTAAATATTTTGCCATTATGGAAAAATATTCAATGATCCAAAAAAATTTTTTTTTATAACCAAAATATTTTAAAAATCATAGAAAGATTTTAACCATTTTGAAAATATTTAGATGATGGTAAATTTATTGTAAATGAAATAAAAATATTTGTGCCATCATAGAAAGAATTTAACCATCATGCGGAAAAGTTTTAATTGATAAAAATATATTTTTTATATCCTAAATATTTTTACCATCATACAGATTTCAACCATTTTTGAAAAAAAATTATTAAATGATGGTAAAATTTTTAATGATGAATAAAATATTAGCCATCATAGAAAGATTTTAATAAACCATCAGGGAAAAGTTATCAATAATCAAAACATTTTTTTTTATGATCGAAAATATTTTACCATCATAGAAAAGATTTCAACCAATTTGGAAATTTTTATAAATATGTAAATTATTTTATATGATGATAATAAAATATTTTGCCATCATAGAAAGATTTTAACCAACATGAAAAATTTCAATGATCAAAAAATATTATTTTGATGGATCCAAAATATTTTACGCATCATAGCAAGATTTTAACAAAACCATTTTGCAATTTTTTCTTGATTTTAGATCATCGGTTGATTGGGTGTTAAGCTAACCAAATCCTTTGTCTACTGAATACCTTGATAAAACCACTATCTTTTTTTTACCTGGCCTTTGACATTATGAAAAATCTTACCTGACTTTTGGTATTATAGAAAAATCTTTCAGTGACTGTAAATTTTATTTTATATGAGAATAAAATAATTTGCAATCAAAGAAAGGATTTTAACCATCCATGGAAAAAAGTGCAATGATCAAAAAATATTTTTTTTATGATCCAAAATATTTTTACCATCATAGAAGGATTTTAAACCATTTGGAAAAAATTTTAAATGATGATAAATTGTTTTATATGATGATATAAAATATTATGGCCATCATAGAAAAGAATTTAACTATCATGGAAAAATTTTCAAATGATCAAAAAATAATTTTTTTTATGATCAAAATATTTTACCATAATAGAAAGCTATCACCATTTTGAAAAAAATTTAATGAGGGTAAAAATATTGTAATATGATGACATAAAATATTTGCCATCATAGAAAGATTTTAACCGTCATAGAAATATTTTTCAATGATCAAAAAGATATTTTTTTTTATTAATAATCAAAATATTTTACCATCCTAGAAAGAATTTTTAACCCATTTTGGAAAAAATTTAACTGATGGTTAATTAATTTTATATGATGAATAAAAGAATATTTTGCGCATCATAGAAAGCATTTTAAACTTCATTGAAAAGTTTTCATGAACAAAAAATATATTTTTTTATGATCCAAAATATTTTACCCTCATAGAAAATTTCAAACATTTTTGAAAAAAATTTTAAATTATGGTAAATTATTTAATCTGATAATAAAAATTATTTTTGCCATCCATAGAAAGGATTTTAAAACCATCCATAAAAATTTTCAATGATCAAAAAATATTTTTTTTTTTATTATCCAAAATATTTTACCATCATAAAAGATTTCAACTATTTTGGTAAAAAAATTAAAATGATGTAAATTATTTTATGTATGAATAAAATATTTTGCCATCATAGAAAGATTTTAACTAATCAGGAAAAGTTTTTCAATGTTCAAAAAATATTTTTTTTATGATCCAAATATTACCATCAATAGAAAGATTTTAATAAAAAAACCATTTTGGAAAATTTTTCTATGATTTTATATCCTCTGGTAGATGTGTGTGTCAAGCTAAAGAGAGAACCTTGTCTGGACAGAATAACTTGATAAAACTACTATCTTTTTTTTACCTGACCTTTGACATATGAAAAGTCTTACATGACCTTTTGGCATTATGAAAAATCTTTCATGATGTAAATTATTTATAGGAGATATAAAATATTTTGCTATCATAGAAGATTATAAAAAACCCATCATGGAAAAGCATTCAGTGATCAATGAATTATTTTTTTTTATGATCCAAAATAGTTTACCATCATAGAAAGATTTCGACCATTTTATGGAAAAACTTTTAATGATGGTAAATTAACTATATAATGATATATAATTTTTGCCATCAATAGATAGATTTAAACCCTCATGGAAAAATTTTCAATGATCAAAAAATATTTTTTTTATGTACAAAATATTTTAAACCCATCATAGAAAGATTTTAACCATTTTGAAAATTCTATTATATTATATCATCTGGGATAGATGTGTGTGTGTTAAGCTAAACAGAGACTTTTCTACTGAATACCTTGATAAAACCAACTATACCTTTTTTTTACCTGAGCCTTTGTCATTATGAAAAATCTATACCTGACTTTTGGCATTATAAAAAATCTTTCAATGATGGTAAATTATTTTTATGTGATGATATAAAATATTTTGCCTAATAGAAAGATTTTAAACCATCAGGAAAAGTTTTACATGATCAAAAGAATTTTTTTTTTTATGATCCAAACTATTTTACCATCATCGAAAGATTTTAACCATTTTTGATAAAAAAATTTAAAAAATGATGGTAAATTATTGCAATATGATGATATAAAAATATTTTGTCTTCATAGAAAGATTATAACCATCATGGAAAAACTTTTCAATGATCAAAAAAATTTTTATATTTTTTTTTTATATCCAACATACTTTACCATTATAGAAAGATTTCAACCATTTTGGAAAAAAATTTTAATGATGGTAAATTATTTTATATAATGACATAAAATATTTGCCATCAAAGAAAGAATTTTAGCCATCAAGAAAAAATTTTCAATTATCAAAAAATATTTTTTTTTGGATGATCCAAAATATTTTACCATCATGGAAAGTACTTTAACCATTTGGAAATTTTTTTTTAATGATAGAAAATTATTTTTGTGATGATGAAAATATTTTGCCATTATGGAAAAATATTCATGGAACAAAAATATTTTTTTATAATTTCCAAAATAATTTTAAATCATAGAAGATTTTAACCATTTTGGAAAATTATTTTAGATGATGGTAAATATGTATATGATGATATAAAATTATTTTGCCATTCATAGAAAGATTTTAACCATCAATAACAAGTTTTCAATGATAAAGAAAATATTTTTTATGATCCAAAATATTTTACCATCATAGAAAAGATTTTTCAACATTTTTGGAAAAAATTTTAAAGATGGTAAAATTATTTTATATGATGATATAAAATAATTTGCCATCAAGAAAGATATTAAACCATCATTTGGAAAGTTTCAATAATCAAAACATATTTTTTTTTATGATAGAAAATATTTTAACCATCATAAAAGATTTCAAACCATTTTGGAAATTTTTTAAATGATGGTAAAATTATTTTATATAGAAGTAAAATATTTTCCATCATAGAAAATTTTAACCATCATGAAAAATTTTCAATGATCAAAAAATTATTTTTTGATGATCCAAAATATTTAAACCCATCATAGAAAGTTTTTAACCATTTTGGAAAAATTTTCTTATGATTTTATGTCATCTGGGTAATGTGGTTGTTAAGCTAACCAAATACTGTCTACAGAATAACCTTGACAAAACACAATCTTTTTTTTACTTGGCCTTTGACATTATGAAAAATCTTACCTGAATTTTTGGTATATTGAAAAATCTTTCAATGATGGAAAAAATTTTATATGCGATATAAAATATTTTGGCATCAGAGAAAGATTTTAACCATCATGGAAAAAAATTTCAAAGATCAAAAATATTTTTTTTTATGATCCAAAATATTTTTTACCTTCATAGAAAGATTTTAACCATTTGGAAAAAAATTTTTAAATGATGGACAATTATTTTATATGATGATATAAAATATTTGCCATCATAGAAAAGATATTAACCATCATGGAAAAATTTTTGAATGGTCCAAAAAATTTTTTTTATGATCCAAATAATTTACCATTATAGAAAGATTCAAACATTTCGGAAAAAAAATTTAAATGATGGTAAATTATTTTTATATGATGACATAAAATAGTTTGCCATCATAGAAAAGATTTTAACCATCATGGAAAAGTTTTCAATGATCAAAAAATATTTTTTTTTTTATGACCAAAAAATTTTATCATCAAGAAAGATTTTAAAACATTTGGAAAAAAACTTTAAATGATGGTACATTATTTTTATATGATGAAATAAAATATTTTGCCATCATAGAAAGATTTTAACCATCAAGAGAAATTTTCAATGATCAAAAAATATTTTTTTTTGTATAATCCAAAATATTTTACATCATAGAAAGATTTGACCATTTTTGGAAAAAAATTAAAATGAGTTTATTATTATGTGATGAATTAAATATTTTGCCACATAGAAAGATTTAACCGTCATGTGGAAAAGTTTCAATGAACAAAACATATATTTTTTTTATATCCAAAATCTTTTACCATCATAGAAAGATTTGCAACCATTTTGGAAAAAAAATTTAAATTATGGTAAATTATTTTTATATGATGATATACAATATTTTGCCACATAGAAAGATTTTAACCTTCATGAAAAAGTTTTCAATGAGTCAAAAAAATTCTTTTTATTATCCAAAATATTTTACCATCATAGAAAGAATTCATTCAAAACCATTTGGAAAAAAATTAAATATTGTAAATTATTTTATGAGATGATTTAAAATATTTTGCCGATCAAAGAAAGATTTTAACTATCATCGAAAAAGTTTTCAATGATCAAAAAATATTTTTTTTTATGATCCAAAATATTTTACCATCATAGAAAGATTTAACCATTTTAGAAAATTTTCTATGATTTTTATATCATCTGTTAGATGTGTGTGGTCAAGCAACAGAGAACTTGTCCTGACTGAATAACCTTGATAAAAACTACTATCTTTTTTTTTACCTGACCTTCTAGACATTATGAAAAGTCTAACCGTGACTTTTGGTATTATGAAAAATCTTTCAATGATGGTAATTTATTTTAAATGATGATTAAAACATTTTGCTATCATAGAAGATTTTAACCAGCATGGAAAAGTTTTCAATGATCAGAAATATTTCTTTATATCAAAAATATTTACCATCATAGAAAGATTTTTAAACATTTTGGAAAATTTTTTAATGATGGAAATTATAGTATATGATGATATAAAATATTTATGCCATCATAGAAAGATTTTATAAACCCATCACATGGAAAAGTTTTTCATCATCAACAAATTTTTTTTTTATGATCCAAAATATTTTTTACATCATAGAAAGATATGACAATTTTGGAAAAAATTTAAATGATGGTAAAAATTAACTTATATGACTGATATAAAATATTTTGCCATCATAGAAAGCATTTACCTCCTCATGGAAAGATTTTAACTATCATTGAAAAGTTTTTCAATGATCCAAAAATATTTTTTTTTTTCCAAAATATTCTACCACATAGCAAGACTTTAACCATGTTTGGAAAATTTTCTATGAAGTTATATCTCTGGATAATGTTGTGTTACGCTAAACAAGACTTATCTGACTGAATAACCTGATAAAACACTACCAATTTTTTTACCTACCTTTGACCTTATGAAAAAAATCTTACCTGACTTTTGGCATTATAAAAAATCCTTTCGAATGGTGTAAATTATTTTTATGTGATGATATAAAATATTTTTGCATCCTAGAAAGATTTTAACCATCATGGAAAAGTTTTCAAGACAAAAAATATTTTTTTTATGATTCAAAAATTTCTAAACCATCATCGAAAGATTTATCCATTATTGAAAAAAATTTTAAATGATTGTAAATTAATGCATATGATTGAATATAAAAATTTTGCCATCATAGAAAAGGATTTAACCCACATGGAAACTTTTCACTGATCAAAAATATTTTTTTATGATCCAAAATATTTACCATTATAGAAAGAGGAATTTTCTTCCTTTTCCAACCATGTTTGAAAAAAATTTAAATGAATGGTAAATTATTTTTATAAATGACATAAAATATTTTGCCATCAAAGAAAAGATTTTCCCCTTCATGGACAAAATTTCAATTCAAAAAATTATTTTTTTTGGATGATCCAAAATAATTACCATCATGGAAAGACTTAACATATTAAAGAAAAAAAATTTTTTTTTTTTTTAAATTATAGTAAATATTTTTTGTGAATGAATGTAAAAATATTTTGCCATTAGAAAAAAGTTTCAATCATCAAAAAATATTTTTTTTTTAATAATCCAAAATATTTTAAAAACATAGAAAGATTTTAACCCTTTGGAAATTATTTTAGATGATGGTAAAATTATTGTATATATGATATAAAATATTTTGCCATCATAGAAAGATTATAACCATCATGGAAACGTTTTCAATGATAAAAAAAATATTGTTTTTATGATCCCAAAAATATTACCATCATAGAAAGATTTCAACCATTTTGGGAAAAAAATTTTAATGATGGTAAATTATTTTTATGATGAATAAAATATTTTTTGCCATCATATAAAGAATTTTTTTTAACCATCATGGTAAAGTTTTACAATAATCAAAATATATTTTTTTATGAGTTGAAAATATTTTATCATCATAGAAAGATTTTCAACCATTTTTGGAAATTTTTTTTTAAATGATGGTAATTAATATTATATGATGAAATAAAATATTTGCCATCATAGAAAGAATTTAACCATCATGGAAAAATTTTCAATGATCAAAAACTAATTTTTTGATGATCCAAAATATTTACCTTCAAAAAGATTTAACCATTATGGAAAATTTTTCTATGTTTTATATCATCGGGGTAGATATGGGTGTTTAAGCTAACCAAATACATGTCTGACTGAATAACCTTGATAAAACCACTATCGTTTTTTTACCTGGTGTTTGGATCCTTATGAAAAAATCTTTACCTGACTTTTGTAATATGAAAAACTTTTAATGATGGTAAATTATTTTTATATGATGATATAAAATATTTGCAATCATAGAAAGATTTTAACCATCATGGAAAAAATTTCAATGATCAAAAAATATTTTTTTTATGATCCAAATATTTTACATATAGAAAGATTTCAACGCATTTTTCAAAAAAACATTTAAATGATGGTAAATTATTTTATTTGATGACATAAAATATATTGGCCAAATCTGAGAAAGATTTTAAAAACCATCATGGAAAAGTTTTCAAATGATCAAAAATATTTTTTTTATGATCCACCTAATTTATCAATAGCAAGATTTTAACAATTTTGGAAAAAAAAATTTAAATGATGGTAAATTATTTTTATTGTGATTGAATAAATTATTTTGCCATCATAGAAAGATTTTAACCATCATAGAAAAATTTTCATTGCTCAAAAAATATTTTTTTTTTATAAATCCAAAATTTTGCCATCTAAGAAAGATTTTAACCATTTTGGAAAAAAATTAAAATGATGGTTAATTATTTATATGATGTATCAAATATTTTGCCATCAAAGACAGATTTTAACGCGTGCATGGAAAAGTTTTCAATGAACAAAAATATATTTTTTTTATGATCCAACCTATTTTACCATCATAGAAAGATTTCCAACCATTTTGGAAAAAACATTTAATAATGGTAAATTATTTTATATGATGATATAAAATAATTTGCCATCAAGAAAGATTTTAACCATCATGAAAAAGTTTTCAATATCAAAAAAATATTTCTTTTTATTAAGCAAAATATTTACCATCATAGAAAGATTTTCAACCATTTTGGAAAAAAAATAAATGAATTGAAAATTATTTTATAAGATTGATATAAAATATTTTGCCATCATAGAAAGATTTTAACTATCATTGAAAAGTAATTCAATGACCAAAAAATATTTTTTTTTATGATCCAAAATATTTTACCATCATAACAGATTTATTAAACCCTATTAGAAAATTTTCTATATTTAATATCAATCATCTGGTAGATGTGTGTGTCACGCTAAACAGAGACTTGTCTGACTGAATAACCTTGATAAAACTACTATCCTTTTTTTTTTACCGACCCTTAGACCAGTATGAAAAGTCTACCTGACTTTTTGGAATTATGAAAACTCTTTCATTGATGGTAAATTATTTATATGATGATATAAAAATTTTGCTATTCAAAGAAAGATTTTTAACCATCAAGGAAAAATGAATGGTAAATTATTTTATATGATGATATAAAAATATTTTGCCATCATAGAAAGATATTAACCATCATGGAAAAATCTTCAAATGATCAAAAAATATTTTTTTTTTTTATATACAAAACATTTTCGGTCTAGAAAGATTTTAAAACCATTTTTGAATTTTTTTTAAAAGATGGTAAATTATGTATATATACTAATAAAATAATTTGCCATCATAGAAAATTTTAACCATTCATGGAAAAAGTTTTCAATGATCAAAAATATTTTTTTTATGATACCAAAATATTTTACCATTATTGAAAGATTTCAACCATTTTCTAAAAAAAATTTAAATGATGGTAAATTATTTTATGTGATGACATAAAATATTTTGCCATCATAGAAAGATTTTAACCATCATGGAAAAGTTTTCAATGATCAAAAAATATTTTTTTTTATGATCCAAAATATTTTATCATCATAGAAAGATTTTAACCATTTTGGAAAATTTTTCTATGATTTTATATCATCTGGGTAGATGTGGGTGTCAAGCTAAACAGAGACTTGTCTGACTGAATTATTTTATGTGATGACATAAAATATTTTGCCATCATAGAAAGATTTTAACCATCATGGAAAAGTTTTCCATGATCAAAAAAATTTTTTTTTTATGATCCAAAATATTTTATCATCATAGAAAGATTTTAATAACCATTTTGGAAAACACATTTAAAAGATGGTAAATTATTTTATATGTGATATAAAGATATTTTGCCATCATAGAAAGCTTTTAAACCCATCATAGAAAAAATTTTCAATAATAAAAAATATTTTTATTTTATAATCCAAATATTTTACCATCATAGAAAGATTTCAACCATTTTGGAAAAAAAATTAAAATGATGGTTAAAATTTATAATGATGATATACAATATTACGCCAACAAGAAGATTTTAACCGTCATTGGAAAAGTTTTACAATGATCAAAAAATATATTTTTTATGATCCAAAAATATTTTGACCATCATAGGAAAGATTTCAACCATTTGGAAAAAAATTTAAATTAAGTTTAAATTATTTATATTTGAATAAAATATTTTCCCATCTAAAAATATTTTAACCATCATGGAAAAGTTTTCAGAGATCAAAGAATATTTTTTTTATGATCAAAAAAATTTTACCAATATAGAAAGATTTCAATTATTTGAAAAATAATTTTTAATAGATGGTAAATTCTTTTGTATGATGAATATAAAATATTTTGCCACATAGAAAGATTTATAACCAACTGGAAAAGTTTTTCCAATGATCAAAAAATATTTTTTTTATTATCCAAAATATTTAACCATCATAGAAAATTCAACCATTTTGGAAAAAAAAAATAATGATTGTAAATTCTTTTATTATGATGATATAAAAATATTTTGCCATCATAGAAAGATTTTTAACTATCCATTGAAAAGTTTTTCAATATCAAAAAATTTTTTTTTATGATCCAAAATATTTTACCATCATAGAAAGATTTAACCAAAATTTTTTTTTTTTTTTTTTGGGAAAAAATTTTCTATGATTTTATATCATCTGGGTAGAGTGGTGTCAAGCTAAACAGAGGCCCCACTTGTCTGACCTGAATAAACCTTGATAAAACACTATCTTTTTTTTACCTGACGTGTGACTTAATGAAAAGTCTTACCTGACTAATGGCATTATGAAATATCTTCAATGAGGTAAATTATTTTATATGAATGATATAAAATATTTTGCCATCATAGAAAGATATTATCCATCATGGAAAA